GCCAATGACAGGGACCTTTGGGAAATGTCTTTTATCTTCCATCTAAATTTTTCACTTGCTTTCCTCTACGTCAAAACATAAATTCTTATTCTCCCACAATTTTCTCTACGTTTAGTTGTAGTTTATCCAACCTTAGAGTATGATTTGGTTCCTTCTGTTGTTTCTAAATAGAGCAAGTCTTCATTGTCTGCAAGGACAAAGAAAGATAAAGTGGTACAAACAGATGGGAACATTTTGGACACTTTTAGTGGTAGTTTCTATTTGACCTGACATTACACTATACTCTGTTTTGATGGATGAATTTCTCAAGGTTCTTTATTCGTATCAATATTAAAATTGGCTCAGACTCCCAGAACACACACCATTGTCTAGCTAGGGAGAGTGAGGTAAAAAGGGGTCTTCGTCATCCCAGTAGCTATTACAAAGCCAAGTGACACTAAAAATGAGACGTGATGGAAAAATGTTACCAGAGACTGAATTACAATGGTAAATAATTTCTATTGCTAATATTTATTAAGTACTTTCTAAGTTTCAGGCATGCTGCCACACGTTTACAACAGTCTGAAGAACTGTGAGATTTTCAGTGACCCAGATAGCAGACATTTCAAAACCCAATGGCACATTTTGTTACTAGTATCTATTTCCTGTGAATACAGTAAGTGGCCTTCTTGTTTGTTCTGTGACCATTCAGAAGATCCAGGATCCTTGCCATAAGTCTCTCTAACATGTAGCCCACAGTTTAAAGATTCTGTTGCCCTCCCACAATGTATTAAAAATATCCTGATGAGAAAAGTCTTAATCAATCAAATCAGGCTTGATGTAGTAGGATTTTGTGGACAAAACTTTGTTCTCAGCTGTATAATAATTACAAGCTGTTTTACCAGTGGATCAGGAAAGGATTATTCTCCTCTTTGAAAATGGTAACGTTATAATTACATGTATTTACTTGCCTTATCAGAATAGAACTCACCAACTGAGACAGAGGATTATTTTTATTCAAAAGACTCTTGGGTGAAATGAACAGCTACATATTTGGGGGAAATTCAGCCTTTGCAACCAATTGTTTCTGGTATGAATAAAGAACAAATTACCTGAAATGAGGTTTTCTTTTTTTCCTTTTTGAAATGTATACAAAACTTGGCACAAAAATTACCTAGACAGTTAACTTGGCCCAGCCCATGAAACTGTTGAGAAATGTGCATTTATTGACAGCTCTATACAGTCAGTGTACAAAGCGTTTTGGCCAACCAAACACAGTATACAAAATGTTTTCAGTGGTTTTATAGTTCTTTATCAGAATCCACCAACATCATATAATAATTTTTTTAAGAATTCATTTTTCTTTATTACTGTCCCATTTAAATCTGGAGGAAACTTCTATGTCTCAGATATTTCTGAAGAGAAATTTGCTTGTTTCTCAGGTGTGCATTATGATTCCAAGTTGAGCTCTTAATATACTAATAATAAACCTCCAGATAATTTGTAGACTGGATCCCGTTTCTCTTAGCCAAATCTTCTCAATTTTATTTTCCACCCAATACCAAAAGGTTTGTTTCAGCAACATAAACATTTTGTCTTTCTTTTGCCAAATATCTTTAAAAACAATTATCCCACCCCCTTCATTCTTACCAATCTCTCTAACATTCCCTAAACTCTCTCTAAAGTTGTTGTGACTATAAACACATTCTGTGTCTTTCGCTTTCTTGACTAGGCACTGTACCTCCTCTGGGTGGACACTTTCTTATCCTGGATTCTGAAATACAGACAAATTGGAGCCACAAATAGAAGAGTACAAATCGTGTCCTTTTCAGCATGGACTCGGTATGCTAAGAAGGTCACAGTTTGCACTCCTATTTGCTACAGGATGGTATGTGATCCTTTGGTCTGCTGGAGGAGAGAAAGAAACCTATGGGTATTAAAGAGTTCAGACGCAGTCACAGAGTTTTCAGCTGTGTCCCATATGCTTGGTGGCTATTCATTCTTCAAGTCTTCAGTTATGCTAGGTTCTAAGACAAAGAAATGACAGCAGTGATAATGCCTTTACCTCCTATCAAAAAGGCAGCCTCGGTAGATTGACTCTGGGCTGAGTAGCTTTGAAAACATTTTCATTCGGCGTATTAGAGCCCAAGGTTTGCCGCTAACACCCAGAATACGTGGAGAACAGGGGCCCCTGGCTGAGTGGTGGAATTAATTGTTCTAGGCAGGGTGAATGCAGATCCGAGCCAGGGTCCCGTTCTGTGTCTGATGATGTCCCCTGGCCTCTTTGCACTTTTCTGGATTTAGGCATTCTCTCCAGTGCTTGTTTCCAACGTATGCTCTGTACAGAGTTAATATTCCATCTTCTATTCTTTATTCAAGCCCTGTCCCCTTGCAAGGTAAGACGGACCTGTTTCCCACCTCCACCCCCAGCCTCTCCGAGGTCATTCTCATGCTGCTGTCATTGGAGACATGGCTCTTGGAGGAGGGTCTGATGTTTTTGTCAGTGCATGCCCCTGCTCCTCTGTATGTTTGATTCTCATTGTCCTTTCTCTTCCTACTCTCCAGGTCTCTATTTTCTGCATGTCCTGTTCATCACTTTGCTCTCTGCCTCACCAGTGCCCACTTACCTCTGCATCTCCTTCCTCCTTCACTGTCCCCTGTGGACGTGTCCGTACTGGGACCAGTTTCACTCCACAGTGACATATTTCACCTCTCCTGCCTTATCACTCACATCCTCTCCCCATTTTCCCTGCAGATCCCCCTTCCTCCTGGTGTTCAGTTCATCATCATCAACTTAAACCAAGTAAGACACTGAGGGAAGCCCACGCTGCCATCAAGCCTCAAATCTGCTCCATTGTCTAAAAAACACTTCTTAATGCTTAAACTTTACCACACGTAAACATTAGACAAAGGCTCACAGGACCTGATCAAAGTATTAGTTAGGCTAGCTTTCTTAGATCTAATATATTAATTTCCAGGTAAATAATCTACTATATTTGGCCCTTTGGGTTTTCATTTTACCCCTAGGATAACGTGAGTAATTGAATTTATCCCATGTTAGACATCAACTGCCTCACCTTAGAGAAAACATCCTAACACACTTTAGACGGGGTTGCGGGGAGCTCCTTAAGGTAAAAACCGCTTTCATAGTAATAGTGGTAGTAATAACAACAATAAGAGAATACTATGTTGACATTTGTACTGATAGGTCAAAAGTAATGGTAGGCAAAACTGCTGGCATGTTATCATGGAATCAAGGCAGTGGCACCATACTTTGCTAGTAATCATTGTACTTTTTTTTGAGATGGGGTCTTGCTAAGTTGCCCAGGCTGGAGTATAGTGGCATGATCATAGCTCACTGCAGCCTTGAACTCCTGGGCTCAAGCAATCCTCCTGCCTCAGTCTCCTGATTGGCTGGGACTAAGGGCATGCACCACTACCCCGACTGATCATAGTACTTTTTACTACCACACACTCACAGTACAGAAAAAAAAAATTATTTCACTAAACCTCAACCCTTGAGTACACATCTTTTTGATTCTCTTTGTGACCGAATGATAAACACACATAAAGCACTTCTGCAGCATCCTGAACTGTTGTGAGGAAAAGTGTTTGTGCAATCATCTGGGTATCAAGCTAAACTGCTCGCTTTTCCATGAAATGCTGTAATTCCATGAAATTTCTTGGAATAAAGACTGACACACTATAGTTGCTCTGAGTTGGTTAGTTGGCAGACATTTTCTTAAACATGAGTGAAGTGAGTCTGTCCCATCAAGGAAAACAACTTAACTGTCTTGTGGTTGATAAAATTTGCACTATAAAGTGAAATTCAAATTCTAGACAATGTGCACCTGCCCTGTGAACTTAACAGCTTCCTAATAAAAAGCTTTTCTGATATGATGGTGGTAATATTAATGCATGTGATTTTTTTTTTTTTTGATATTGTACATTGAAATGAGACAACCTTTGGAAGATCTGCATAATCACAAATTTCTGGATAATCAATGAATGATTTTGAACCATACATGGATAAAACTCACTTAATGTGTAAGACAGATCAATGGCTTTTAATGGAATATGAAAAATTCATCGAGATAGTTTCAGATTTCACATGGACACTAATTTTCAATAAACTATAAGCTATAGACTTTTAGTGTAATACCAAAGAATAATCAAAACTATATGAAAAGAGCATTAAAAACTCCCCCTGGCTGGGTGTGGTGGCTTAAGCCTATAATCCCAACATTTTGGGAGGCTGAGGCAGGAGGATCACTTGAAGCCAGGAGTTCAAGACCAGCCTGGGCAACAAACAAACAAACAAACACACAGACAGACAAAACTACTCTGTTTTTTTTTTTTTTTTTAAATATGTATGTCTCTGAGGCCAGATTTTCTTCATATACTTCAACCAAAACATGTTATAACATTTTATGTAGATACAGATAATCTAGATGTGAAAAGGATTTACAAACCTGTAAAACAATATCATTATTCTTACTAAAACTTTTTAAAAACAGTTATTTTCACAAAATATGTAATACATACTGATATATAAAAATACTATAAAAATATACAATTTATTTTTTAAGAATTATTTTTTAAATTCCAAGAAATTTCAGTTATTAAATTTATTTATCAATTAAATCAAGTAAATATTGACAAATATAAGCCAAAAAACCAAAGTTTTTTGGGATCCTTAATTATGACGAATAATTCTCAGAGAAACATTTCTCAGAGTGTTTTTCCCCAAACACTAATCTCACAAAATGATTCATAAATAAAAGGGCTTTCACTCTGAAGTAAGTTTGGGATATCTGGAGAATCGTAACACTTGCCATACTTGGAGAGCTACAACCCACATTAGTTTGTTAGAGGCCCAGGGAAATCCTGCTGTATTGAGTTTGTTTCATATTATACAATCCAGTGTTTCCTTCTATTAGGAAGTCTGTGAATCCAGAACATGCTGGTCACCTGATCTTGGAGAGAGGGTACTGGCACAGTGGAAATCTACCATGACTCACCTTCAAGCCGGACCACCAGGGGCACCTTGAGTTCTAGCTCCCGGCAGGCTTTGGTGATCCCATTGGCAATGATGGCACAGTTGACGATACCACCAAAAATATTGACAAGGATGGCTTCAACCTGAAATCAAAAATAAAAAGTTACCCATCAAAATGCGGATCGCCAACAGTCTCAAAAACAACTGGCTAAATAATAGAGACCATTAAGATAAGACTCCTTGTTTTTTGTTTTTGTTTTAAACAGAGCACAAAATACAAAAAAGACTGATAACATGTTAAGCAAGCTCATATTAGTAATGAATTAATAAACATCACAACATAACATTACCAAATTTTCCCATCAATCACTCTTTTGAACTCAAAATGAATTTAATCATCATTCATTTGTCTATTATATAATGTCTTCTTTTTTTTGAAAATATTGTCTATTCTTTTTATAAGTAGTATCATTTAAAATTTCTTGCACTTAGGCTTTTTTCTTCCTGATTTACAATTACATTTTTATATGTCATGGTGCCTCACACAATATTTCAAAATTAGAAACCATTTATTGTTTTGTATTAAAAGGTAAAAAAGATTCAAATGTTTTCATGCTTCCTTAAAACCTCTTTGATATGCTAGAAGTTATGTTCTCAAAAATCAGAGATAGTTTAATTATCTTAGACAGTAACCTTTTTGATTAAGAAAAAGACTCCTGAAATAAGGAGATGCAAGCTTATAGCATAAGTAACAATGTAAGGAAAGTCAAGCTACTGACTGGAGCTTCTCAGAAATGTAAATGTAAACCCGTCATGTTAACTTGCTTGTACATATTCCATATTCAAAGGCATGTGGGCCAAAAAAAAAAAAACATCAACAAACAAACTCTACTTGTCCTGACTTGATAAATAGGCATCAGAAAATCCTGTATAATTAACATGAAGAACGAGATAATGAAGAGAATTCATTACCTAGATTAATTGATAACACCCACAGAAAAATGGCTATTCATCAAGCTGGAGGCATCAAAATTCCAACAATAGAGTCACAATTAAATTATGCCACACTAATTGTAAAGCATATATATATGTGCTGCATAAAAATCCCATTATTTCAGTGTGTTAAATTACCTACACTAAACATATGAGAAGAGAATATCTTACATTTGTATAGCATTTAACTGTTTAGAAAGTGGATTACACAAATCCTTATTTTTATAGTGCGCCTTTCCAGAACCCTATTCATAAGGTACGGTGAAGGTTGACTCTCTAGCTGAGAAAGCCATCGGGTACATTCAGGGAATATTGTCCCAAGGTCACACAGCTGTCATGTGGCTGTGGCCAGGCCCAAAGTCAGCCCCCTAGATTGCCTACTGATTTGTTCATTGATGTCAGTTGCTAGGGCTGGGACCTTGGGCAACTTACAGAACCTCTCTTGAACATTTCCTCATCTGTATCACAGGAATAAAAAGAGGACCTAGCCCACAGGATGCTGAAAGGCCTAAATGAGATAATACATGTGAAATGTTTACCACATGGCTTTAAATGTACTTAATGGATATTTACACATGCATTTATTCAGCAAGCAGTGATGAAAGTGGGCAGGTTACCTAGAGAGCAAGTAAGAAAACCTTTTTCAGTAGACTGCAGCTCATGCTGAATTTAAATATAATGGAAATACAAACTTATTGAAGTTCAACAAAAAGGTAATGTCTTAAGAATCAAAGAAATGAACAATATTTTTCAAACCAATTAGAGATTGGGGCTACTCCCAAAAAAGAAATCTCCCATTACCATTCACAGCAGGCCGACTGGTAAGCAGAAGCTTGCTTTCTAATGACAGCTATTAAATGCTGTTAGTATTGAGACTTGGTACAGCAGCAGTTTCCAAATAACTGTGGGATGGAGAGGAACTTGCCAGAACAATAGAAGAAAAACATTCAGGAGCAAGAATGACTCCACGGGGTCCGTGATAGAAACTCAGGACCTGCTGAGGCTCAGTAAGGTTTGTGCAGAGGAACTTGGCATTCTAATAAAACACACATTGGCACCTGCATGCCTCTGCCATGTTCCGGCCTGCACGTTCCTTAAGGACAAGTTCGGATGTCAACTTCTCAGGGAATTCTCATGAAATTAGAATCACTGACTCTGTTTAACCCATCTAAAGCTTTATGATCATTTTATAGATTATAGTTCACATGATACTCTTATGTGAATTCACCTAAACAGGCAGGAGTGAGGGATAGGAGCGAAAAGGACAGAAGGGGCTTGAGACCCTGTGATTCAACTCTACTTAGTGGGTGAGTCCCTGGAGTAAATGTCAAACAGGAGCTGTGAATCAGTGTTGCCTCAATTGGCATCAGTTCCCATAAGTCTCTCATGTATCAGTATCTCGTGTTTAATTAAGAGTCCGACGTTAGGCCGGGCACGGTGGCTCAAGCCTGTAATCCCAGCACTTTGGGAGGCCGAGACGGGCGGATCACGAGGCCAGGAGATCGAGAGACGATCCCGGCTAACACGGTGAAACCCCGTCTCTACTAAAAAATACAAAAAAACTAGCCGGGCGAGGTGGCGGGCGCCTGTAGTCCCAGCTACTTGGGAGGCTGAGGCAGGAGAACGGCATAAACCCGGGAGGCGGAGCTTGCAGTGAGCTGAGATCCGGCCACTGCACTCCAGCCTGGGTGACAGAGCTAGACTCCGTCTCAAAAAAAAAAAAAAAAAGAGTCCGACGTTAAAAATAGACACTCTTCATACAACCACTTGTGCCTAAAATTCAACTACTTTAGTTGGTGCTGAACTCCAGGAAAAGCCTTCTTTTCTAACTGCAGAGGAATAAATGGCTTTGTTAGACTTACTGAGAAATGAATAGCTGTTGTTCTCCAATGTACTTGATTCTCCTCTTACCTTCCTCTCCCCAACCCCAAGATGCAACTCCTGTGTTTGGATCATCTTTGTGCTTCTCTAAGACAAAGATTATGTATTTTTCCATTTTTTAATGATCAGTAGCCAGCACAGTCCATGACATGGCATAATCATGTACGAATAATGGTTTAACAATGAATGAATTAATTTCAACAGACACCTGATGAACATCTCCTTTGTACCAGGTACAGAATTAAGTTCTTGGGATATGGAGAAGGATAAAATATCATCAACTGTCCTCAGGGAAGAATTCAAAGACTAGTTTGAGAGCCAGACCAATAAACTGGCAATGACAATACAGGGTCTACAGATGGTCTCACACAGCCAAGACCAGCGCAGAGGCAGTGATGCAGGCTGCTGATATGACAGAGGATTTTTGGAAGAGGTGACGGTCTGGTAGACAAGAAGAAAAAAAAGAGCAGGATCTGAGATAAAGGGAGCAGCCAGGATAAAGGCAGATATGTCACCCAACTTAGTTTATTGAGGAACTAATGGTTGAATGGTGAAGTAACTTAAGATAATACAGGTGAGGCCGAGATTGTCAGGTGCCAGAGGCCAGGGATGGGAACTTGGATCCTCTTATTTCTTCCTTTTTATTTTATTTATTTGTTTTTTGAGACACATTTTCACTGTGTTGCCCAGGCTGGAGTGCAGTGGTGCAGTCTTGAGTCATTGCAACCTCCGCCTCCCGGGTTCTCATACCTCAGCCTCCCAAGTAGCTGGGACTACAGGCCCCTGCCACCACACCTGGCTAGTTTTTGTATTATTAGTAGAGACGTGGTTTTGACATGTTGGCCAGCTGTCTTGAACTCCTGACCTCTACTGATCCTCCTGCCTTGGCCTCCCAAAGTGTTGGGATTATAGGTGTGAGCCGCCAGGCCTAGCCTCTTCCTTCTTTAGAACTGGGTGGAGGCAAGTCTTGAAAGTAGCCTCCTTGAAAGGCAGAAGAGAAGTTATAGGAGGGGAACAGAAGGACAGAGGAGATTGAGTGCATGAGAGACAATGAGAAATACAGAACAACCATGAGAGAGCATGGGGGTGAGAGAAAGAGAGAGAGAGAGAGAAAGAGAGTGAGAAAGAGAATGAGTGAACAAGAAGTAGTAAGAGAAGCCATGAGAGAATGCAAAAGAATAAGAGAGAGAGAGAGAAAATGCAAAAGGGAGAGTGAGAAGTCATGAGGAAGATAGAGGAGCAGAAAGAGTATGACCAATACTAACAAAGTAATTGAGATTTCTACAAGAAGAGCAACAAGACCTAGAAATACGCAGGCTGCTTAGCTCAGGGAAATGGGATTGTTTAGGACACACGATATACCACAGCACCCTAAGAGGGAAGTCACCACCCTGGGTGGTGAGAAGATGCTACTCAACCAGAGATTATGCTATTCTCGCCTTCTCTCCTACTGTAAAGTAATTTGCTGCAGTCATGCACTTTAATGGAAATCTGATTTAAGGTTTAACTCTGGGCCAATTTCTATAATTAACTACTGTAATCTGCAATCTCAAACTGGGAATGAAATTAAGATAGTTTAAAAATGAAAGCCTCGTGACATCATTATTATTATTTAGCATTTATAAAGCATGTCAAATTGTCAATGTGTGCCTCACATGTTCATTCATTTTACAACTACTAACTGCTGTTCCATGACGTTATCAACAGTAACTTTTAATTATCTTCCCCCAGCCCCCTGGCAAAGAGAATTTTTTTTTTTTTTTAAGAATTCAGTGTTAGGTCTATTTAAGTACCCAGAGACTCTCCCGGAAGATCCCAAGTGCTTTTGGGAACCGAGGCTTTTTCTAATTCTCGGGTGACAATTATGAGGGTTGCTATTTACTGTTTCACAAAAGTAAAGATCATCTAATGAGGAAGCTGAAGTGCCAGATACAGGGCCCAGGTCCCCAGATCCCAGACAGCTGATCCCAAGGCAAGTTTGCGCTGGCAGCTGTGCAGGTGGTCGGGCAGTCCACGTGCAAGTTTTTCAAATGTCTGTGGGTGTTTTGCTTTGCAAAACACACTCTAGCTGCAGATTTTAGTCCACAATTAAAAGTAAAAACCAAACTTTGAAAAAAGAACAGCTACAGCCCTTGCTATTTATCAAGCTTCTGTCAACATCATCCCCACTGCCCAAATAAACAAACCAACAAAAATCAATACTAAACCTCTTCTTTGGAACATGGATCCTTTTGATTATCTGATGAACATTAGGGATTCCCCAGTCAGG